CCCGGTCCCCCGTTCATGAACCCCCCCGCGGCGGACCCCCCCCCGCCGGTGCCGCAGCTCTTCTTTTGCGCCTGCTCCTGGCGCCTCAAGGTCTGGAGGAGGCAGCCGATAGCGTCGGAGCACGCGAATGCAACGTCGACGTCCGAGTGGGACACGCAGGCCCAGAGCATCGGCAGCGCCTCCTGCAGCATGTCCGAGCACTCGGCAGCCGTCGCCGCTAGTGCGGGCGCTGTCGCCGTCAGGAAAGCAACAACGATGGGTGGGAGTTGTTGGTGCGCGCGCGTGTGTGCGTGCATTTGAAAGCAATGGAGCTAAAAAGCAAACAAAACGCCAGCGGGGGGGTATTGCAAGCCGCTTAGATTGTGGTTTCGCGGTTTGCCATATGCGGCCTGATCCGTCCGCGTTGACTTCGCCAGGTCGTGCTGATGTCTGCTCCTTGAGGCACACAAAAACCAAGTTAGTTCAGACACTCAAGGTTCTGCTCTGCTACACGCTGCGCACTCCATCGCATCGCATCGCTTCTCTTCACTCCGCCTGCCCGGCCAGTAGATCAACCAAACTCAAACAACGCCTACCGCGGAACACCATCGCACTCGAAGTATTCAAACTTAGGAGCCGTTACGTGTGCGATCCCCCCACCCCGTCTCTCTCTCCCCCCTCTCTTCCTCTCTCTCTCCCCCTCCCTCTCTTCAAGCCGCCACTCCCTCCTCATTCTTCCTCACCCTTCACCCTCCTTGTCTTCTCTCTCACACCACCTCTCACCACTGTTGGCGTCAGGAGACAGCAGCTGGACAGAAGCCGGGGGCAAGGTGAGGGAGGTCATCGCCGCCGTCGTCATCATCTCGATCTCCGAACCAGGCCCCCCGATGCCCTCCCCCCCCAGAGCGGCAGGCTCGAGCTTGTCCCAGACGGAGAGGAGCTGCTTCACCACGCCGTCCACCAGCTCGGCGACCCTAACCGCTATGGCTTCGTCGGAAAGCGGCACCTGACCGTTTCCGATATAACGGCATTCGAGTTTTTTCTTTCTTCATTCATGCTATGTATGTACCCGACAATGCCACGAACAATGATAACAGATGTTTGTGGCTTGGTCCCCAGACAAGAGCTGGACACCGATTAGTCTAGTCGATGGTTTGTTCAATCGATGCGCTGGGAGGAACTTATACCCAAGAACGTGAAAATGGAAATGGAAATAACAAGCCTAGCAAGACAGGAGTCGCGTCGGGGAGGNGGGGGGGGGGGGGGGGGGGGGGGGGGGGGGGGGGGGGGGCGACATGAATTCATGAGACACGGCAGGGGTCGGGGGAGCCAGCGCACGGGTGGTTTGCTCGGCAGAAGAAAACAAGACGTAGCGGTCGATAACGCTTGCCTGCAAAATTGCGCAAAGGGTATCGGAGAGGACCGACAAGGAGAGCCTTTTTTTTGTATTGTCACACACAATCACCCAACGGAACGCAGACGAGTTATCGACGCTGAAAAATGCTACAAGTACATAGTTCGTAGTTCGAAACAACGGCTTGAGAGAGCTAGATCATGACAGTCATCGGTCAAGATATCGCGTGTCCGACAAAAAGACGATGGCGTCGAGACGACCGCACGCTAAGCGCGAGCATCAGCATCACCTGCTTAAGCATCTCCGCCAGCTTGAGCTGCTGCAGCATCCTCAGCTTCGCCACCGGGTGTGCCATTTTCTGCGCGAGGGGCGAGGCGGCACCAGCCAAAAAAAGCAAAGCGTTGCACCCTCGATAATGTCATGTTCTGGTTTGCTATCTTAGCAAGGGGAGGGGGGGAGGCTGCGGCCGAGCGCGGCACACAACGGCTATCCGACACGGGAGACTCAAACGTACTGCTGTAACTACCACCACCAAGAAAGCTGCTCGTGGGAATCGCCGCGGTCGATCACAAAGGTGGCGCACCCACCTTGTTGACGACCTCGAGGATGCAGGAGCACGACCGGCGAACAAGTTGCTCGTCGGTCGACATGAGGCACCCCAAGAACAGCTGGAGAAACTGCTCGTTCACCACCTGCGCAATGTCGATCCACCCGATGTACCTGCGAAACTCGTGTTGATCCATCCGCGCACTCTGGTTACCGCTTAAGCACCGGGAGAGAAAAGCGAGATTGCTGCTCTGTAGAGCAGCAATCAGCGTTTATATTCGCACGGTAGGGAGCAGGCCAGGCGACCGAAGCACCACACAGAAAGAACTTGACAGCCGGGGTGCCCGGCAACAAACACCACGGCGGTGAACCACCCGATGCAACACACAACGCTATTATCCACTCCCCCCCCGGCAACAAGCACCAATCGAGGGCGGGGGGAATGCTGTTGAGAATACAGAAAAGGGGGGA